CAAAGTGTATCTCATGTGATAAATAAGAAATAATTAAACTCTTTTGCAAACATTTCAGAAACAGGATCTATGTATGCTGACAAGGAATCAAGATGAGTACGTCTAATTCGCTTAGGTCTTCAATAGTATTGTCTTCCTCCTCTGACTCAATAGTCTTTGAGAAAGGGAATCGCATCCTTTACTTCTTTCTGGGCCAAGGGGTTAGTTTCCTTCATGATCTCGATAACATCATCTCCTACAATTTTATTGTTTTTTCACGTCATCATAGAGGACATCATTATTAGTTTTTTCACGCCATCATACATGTGTCCTATTAAATCGATATTGGATGATTCAAACATGTTCTTTGCAAAGACACCAGCAGACAAACTTCTTCCCATGTCTTCATGAGCTTAATCAAGAGCTTGCTGCGAATGGCTTAAAGCTCCTTCTTGACCAACTACTTCTTTAGGGGCATCTTCATCAGACTGCTCTTTGAGAGGACAAATCTCTTTGTTTGTGACCATTGGGATTATTTGACGGCTGGTTTATATTGGTTCATTCTTCAACCAGTACACTGAAAATATCTTGTATGGTGTTTATTTGATTCATCAATTGCAATTAAAGATCCCCGCTTTGCTTTTGGGAGAGATGAGAGCCGTATGTGCGACCCCTTCGGGTTCACATGGTTTAATGCAACAAAAGCGCCATGGAACAACTTGCTTTTATATCAAAACTGATGTAGACACCTACAAGAGTGTGATGGTGGGCATAGGAAGAAAGTGTCTGGTTATGACTAATAAACCTAGTCAAGTTAGGGTTTAGGAGTTCTATACAGTTTTAGGTTCCTATAAAGTTTAGGACGACATGGTCTTGTGCCTTTTGGAGGTTTCCTAATCGGGATCGAATCAGATTTGGGATAGGGATTGGGTTTGGGACCTCAAGATCTTGACAAGTAGAAATATCCCTATGGTAGGGATTGCAGTCCATACAACCTGAAATCTAGGGATCTCGATCCCAAAATGTGGGGATGCTTGATCCAAACTTAATCGGATCGAATGATCAATTATGCATGACCGAACTCCGTATGGTTAAAAATTAAGCCCCCCAAAGCACACTTATAATGTACAATAGTGTACATTATTATACATTACTATATTGTTATACTATATCAGAATTTTATGCGATATACTATATGCTACTATACTTATAGGGAAATGATCCGGTCAGCCTAAGTTATCTTCTCTTAAAAAAAAAAAAAAGAATCCTGGCAGTCTACTAGCTGATGGTCACGTTTTTTCTACCAATCTAAATCGCATGAAATTTGGAGCGTCCACTTCTTATCAAGGAGCACCTAATAAAAATATGAAAAAGTTATTCATAAAAATAAATTGACCAAAATACCCCTATAACTTTTAGGGGTATTTTGGCCATTTTATTTTTTGCAAATTATGTTATCTTTCTATCAACAGATGGAGTTCCCGTCCCCAGGTAATGAATAAATGGGCTAAGAATCCACCACTAACTTCCTCTTCTCTCCTCGGTGATGGGCCAAGGGAATCGAAGACTCTGAATCTCGTTTTTAAATAATTTTTTTAGATTTGCCTATTTTTCAATAGTAGACACTCAAAACTTCAAGTGAATTGAATTTGTAAAAAAAATTAAAATTAAAATATGAAATGTAATCGCGTCTGTTATATCGGTCTAGATTGGCTGTTGGGCATTTATTGTAGTTGTCAGGTAGCGTGCTAACCTCAAATTCTCCCATACTTAAATATACTATAGACAACTATATAGTTGTATGTATTACAATATAGTATATATGATCATACTGTACCACATTGCTAGACTATACTATATTGCGATACTATACCAGATTGCTGTAATATACTATACTACAATGCTAGGCAATCTGGGTCGCATATTACTCAAGCCCTTGGTCCCAAATAGGAAGGATTGAGATTCCAAATTTAGGAATCGCAGAGTACCGAGGTCCTTTTCCTTGTAGCTCAGGATCGGGATTTCGGAGGGAATCAACACCTTGGTAGGTGGATCCCGTTAAATATGATTCGCTCCATACTTGACTCCTGAAAGCATAAAAAATAAACTCCTAATGATTCTAGGAAACAATGCCTCTGAGAGGCTTCTAATCCAACTGGGATTCAAACCTGGCTTTCTAGAGACCTAATAACTAAAGGAAACTAAAATTGAACAATAAGGACTCAATAATGAAATGAAAGACACTTAAGAAAATAAAATTTCTCACAATTTAAAATAAAATTTCTCACAAATTTTTCTAGGAGTTCAATCACAATTTGAAGCCCCAAAAATGCTTAAATCCCGAGAACCCATAGAGACCTTGATGAGTTTTTTAAGTTGGGCTTTGGATCACCCCAGACAAACATCTAAGTGAAAAGTTGCGTCCTTTGAAAGCAGTTGATGTGAACTCTACTGCGTCTTCCTCGCCACCACGAGATGCATTAAACCCCTTCTATGTAGTCTTCCTTCTACAACTTGATATGATGTCCCCCTTTAGGAGTCCTAGCACCAGAAGATGTACAACTTAAGTAGATTCTATCCTGATGTGATAATTTTTTGCTATTTAACTCTTTTCAATGTACACATTTTACATGTTCTTTGTAGCATTAAGGGAATCCATATAAACACCCCTAACAATATCGTTGTTTTTTTTCTTCTGCCACTACTGCTAGCCGTATGCTATGGGAGTGTATCGATGGAATAGGCACTAACGCCATGTAAATGAAAGACTGCAGTGGTTTAATGATAAATTTAAGTTCCCCTTTTCATCATGGCCCTACAATATATTTCCTTTTCTTTTCTCCCTTTTTTTATAGAGTCCATTAGAATGACTTGAACCCTATGGAATTCTCTTTGTGCATGTCTATATTTAATGCTAAAAAAATAAATTAAATATTGTACATCTGTTTTACTACCACACTGAATTTATGTATGTATAATGTATGTGTGTGTGTGTGTGTGTGTGTGTGTGGTGGTGGTGGGGGGGAGAGCTTCCTAATGCTTCCACACAGTTATAGTTTAAGTACACAAATGTATGGGCCCTCCTGGCCACTCCCTGAGAAGCACTCACTAGGTGGGGAACTTCAGCCATGGGTTGGTGCTGCCACCCCTTCTCTGGCTTCTTCTCCCAACAATTATGGTTAAAGCTCAAAGCCTTCTTTTTTTCCATTTTCCTTCCTACAATCAAGATATGGGAACTGATGAAATACATCCCTGCCTGTGAGCTTTGTTACCATAAGCATATATTTAAGTACTTGAAATACCCTTGCATTGTAATGCAAAACACTTTGGGATAGGGTTGGTTTTGATTGTTTGCAAGGGTAAATGCAAAAGCATATGGAAAGGATTGCACAAAGGAGCATATGATGTGCAATAATAATGATAGATACATATTTATTCCTGCACTTCACCTCCCTTCCACCCAACTGCTTCTACTCTGTTGCTCCATGAAAGCCACACCTTTGGGCGCCTCCTGACTTATGCAATTGCTCCTCGACCAGTTTCTGTCCACTTACTCATCTGCCTCATCCACTGTTGGGCTACAGCTGCTTTTACTTATTAGTGGGTGGAGATGAGAATTCTAACTTCTCTCTGATGTATACTCATGCTACCCCTTTTATTCATGATGAATGCATCTTAATATGTGGAAACTGAGAATATTCCATACTCCATATGGATATGGAATATGGTACTCGGGCACAACATCCACTGTCCATATTTATCTAAGGGTGGTGGTTGATGAATTGTTGCTCATTTTTAGTCATCTGTTCGTTTAGTGGGAACAATGAACTCCCTGGATTTGCTATGAACAACTGATCTTTGGTATGAGTACCCAAAGAGTGTACTCGTACAATGTATAGTATCCGGTCCCATGTCGAAAAATACAAATAGTACAGTGGTAGTATACACTATACATGTAGGAAGATTGTAGAGGAATGGAATTTCAAATGGGCAAGTTCTTGAGGAACCCCCCATCCATCAAACTGCGGAGTTAGTGTTGATTTTGTCCTCCCTAAGGATGTGACAGAGAGAGACATCCATTTCTCTCTCTCATCTCCATGACCTCTACAATACCTACAATCCTCTGAGGCAGTCTCAAGAGATGTCTATTACATCGAGTAAATCCCTTCCTCATGGACTTCCTCATGGAGGTACTGAGAAAGTGAATATAAAAATAGACCTCACTAATCCCATTTGGAGGAAATTCATTATTCCTTGTACACTTCTACTCTCAAATAAGACCTCCCTGACCCCCTAAGAACTATCCTAGTGGAGTTAGCATGCACCAAGAATCTCTGTTGTCATCACTGCCTGACTCCAAAGTTCGCCTTTACTGATCTTAGTGAGAACACCCTGTGCATTTCCTAGTTATATACTAGTTTGTCCCCTCTCAACAGAGGGATGAAGAAATGCTTTGATTAGCTCACATAAACTTGCCAACTTAAGTACACCCATATCTCCCTCCAACCTCCCTTTAACATCCTGGCTAATCTCTTAGAATGTACTACAAATCCTCAATTGAACAAATTCTATGAGATCAACTTTCTACTTTCTGCTAACCCAAACAACCTAAGATTCCTTCCACAAACAATACATTTCTTTATTTCTAGTGCTACATTCTATAGTCTTAACCTCTCAACATTTTTATTGGCTGAATTTTGAAGATTTTGTTGGTTTATTCTACAAGTTTCTTGGTATTGTGACATTGTTGATATTCTTTTGCCAAAAAACTTTTCTAGTATTTTGACATGTTTTCTTGGAAGTATGTATTACTTGCAACAGTTAATCATACAAGCATAATGTTTTAGTTTCTGTTTTTTGTTATAAAAAAGTACATGGCTACATTTGCGTAGGAGATAGGTTATCATTCTTACACTTGAGTATATTCTCTTACTTCTTTGTGTTTCTTCATGGTCATGTTCCTGCTTTTTATGGGTTATTGGTGGTTCGCTTGAATTTCTGGTTGAACTTGTCTTGCAAAGGTGAGATACCCAGATCGGATAACACTGATACGAGGTAACCACGAGAGCCGTCAGATCACACAGGTTAAGATCTCAAAGCCTCATGGTCATTCTGGTATTGAAAAAGTTATGGTACTCGAAGCACTGATTTTTTTCTGCTGGCAGGTTTATGGATTTTATGACGAGTGCCTTCGTAAATATGGCTCAGTAAATGTGTGGAGATATTGCACTGACATATTCGACTATCTGAGGTTATATTGCACCTCTTATTTAGATATTTGTAAATCCAGTCCTAGCCATCATTCTTTAGACGCCTGGTTTATTTATTCTTAGGTGCTCATCTCAATCTATTCTTCGTCTCAAGTTACTCCTCTGAAAATGAAAAGGTTTGTTATTTGCTGAATTCTTCTTATTTTTTACTGTCACATTTGTTTCTTATAAATCTGGTACTTCACTACAGTTTGTCTGCGTTAATCGAGAACCGGATTTTTAGTGTTCATGGTGGTCTCTCTCCTGCCATATCCACATTAGACCAGGTCTGTCATTCTACTCCTTAGAAATCTTCCCCAATCATCATTCCTTAGATGATTATCGTGCCTATCATTTACAAAATTGCGCTTTATATATTACAAAAATTGTCACTTTGCTATTAGTTTGTATCAGAGTTGTTGGGATTTGGGAGTGGGATCAGCATCGAGAGCAAGGCATTGTGAATGACTAGAAGATATCTATGATTGGAAGCACCTGTCCATACCATGTACGTGTTAGGGATTGAGATCCTCAAATGTTGGGAATCTCGATCCCAACCCTGTCAGGATATTGATCCTAATCTTTTGGGATCTAGATACTATCCTTTTGGGATCTCACATCCTTAAAGAGTATATATGTAGTCTGGCTATATATACTCTTTATAGTCTGGATCTCCTTATTTATTGCCAGTAAGCAATGCAATTACATTAAAAGTATAGTTTCATTGCTGGCTGGCGGTAAATGAAGAAAAACATCAGCTTGATCCTTATTTTGGTCTCTAAGGTGGGGATTGAGATTCCAAAATCTAAAATCCAGATCCCTTGAAGATCACCCTTTCCCGAAGCACCGGAGCAAGACTCTGGAGCAGGATCGCTGCCTAGGTTGGGAGACCCCAGCAACTATGATTTGAATAACTTATATCAATGCCTATTCCCTTTCTTAAATAATGTAGCATATTTTTTTACCAGGTTTGCCCTCTTCATGGTTCTTCAACCATGAACTTTGTTTTTGGGAATTTATTTTTCCACTGCATTTTTTTACCTGTAATAAACAAAAATAACTAAATAAATTTATCAATTGTGGGTTCATGGAAGCATTTTGATAAGCATTTTGATAAGTTTTGGTTCTATAACTGTGTTTTTCAGTACTACTAGTGCTTATCAATTTCTGGATACAATGAAGCAGTTAAATAAGCTTTCCTTTGTAATTTGAGCAGATCAGAACGATTGATCGGAAACAAGAGGTGCCTCACGATGGGGCCATGTGTGACCTCCTATGGTCAGACCCTGAGGACATAGTCGATGGCTGGGGTTTGAGCCCTCGAGGGGCCGGCTTCTTGTTTGGGGGCAATGTTGTCAGCTCTTTCAACCACTCAAATAGCATCGATTATATATGTCGAGCCCATCAGTTGGTCATGGAGGGTTACAAATGGATGTTTAATAACCAGATTGTAACTGTGTGGTCAGCTCCAAATTACTGCTACAGGTCCAGATCATAACCCTCTGTATGTGTGTCATCTGTGTTTGTGAGTGTGTGTGTGTGAGAGAGAGAGAGTTCACTTCTTTAGGCTAATTTTGTATGTGTGTTGTATGCGTGTTATCTGTGTTTGTGTGTGTGAGAGTGAGAGAGAGAGAGAGAGAGTTGACTTGTTTTAGGCAAGGAGAAAATTTTCTCTGTGGATTGTTTGAGAGAGAGTTGTGGTGGTTTCTTTGGCCTAATTTTGTGTGTATGTGTGTGTGTGTGTGAGAGAGAGATGTGGTAGTCTTTATACGAAACTGTGTGTGCATGTGTGTGAAAGCTATGCATACATACATACACACACACATATACATACATACTCTCACATAATAACATATATATGGTAAAAGCTAAGGTCAACCCATCAGCTGATGGAACAATGTAAGCCCAACAGCTCAGATTAAATCTGGGTCGATCTGAAAGTCACGACCTTATTTCGTATTTGAATTTTAGTTTTTTTCTTAAAAATTGAAATCACTCAAAATTTGGAACGATTATTCTAAAAAAAATAAGAGAATCTAATAAAAATATCAAAAAATAATTCGTAAAAATAAATTGATCAAAATACCTTTGAAACTTTTCAATGGTATTCTGGTCAATTTATTTTTATGAATTAATTTTTAAATATTTTTATTAGGTAAGTCTTTGATGAAAATAATAGACGCCTACAATTTTATGTGATTTGGACTTGTATAAAACATATTTAAATTATACTGCAAAATGAGGTCGTGACCGTCAGATCAGCTCAGATTCAATTTGGGCTGTTAGGCTTACAGATTTAAGCTGGTGGGGTGACCTTAGTTTTTTCCTATATATGTATATATAAATTTTGGACACTTGTATTGTCTTGTTTTGTAATACATTATGTTTGTAGTAAGACATTTTTGGTCATTAAGAGGGGTATGACATCATCTACATTGGGTGTGACATCACCCACATGGAGTATTAAATGCCACTAGTGTGTTAGGTGATGTCACACCTCATGTAGATGATGTCACACCCCTCCTAATGACCAAAAATACCCTTATTAAAAAAAATGCTCCATATACAAAACAAAGGTATATCATCATCATTATCATTTTAGCTTTTTTCCAATTAATTGGGGTCAACTACATGAATTTTGATTCTCCATTCTGCTCTATTAAAGGCCATATCTTCAGTGGAGCCATAAGTTCTCTTATCTTTTCGAACCATTTCTAACCACATCATTTTAGGCCTACCTTTTTACTTTTTTCAGTCCTTCCTCTTGAACTAACTCGTACTTCTTAGTAAGTGTTGTACTTGGTCGGCACCACGTATGGCGAGCTCCCTTAAGTCTACTCTCTCATGTTATCACCTATTAGTGCCACACATAAATTCTTTTGAATAGATTTATTTTAAATTATATTCCTTCTTGTCTTGCTACTCATCCATCTCAACATCCTCATCTCAACTACATTAATTTTATGGGTATATTGTTTTTTTTCTGCCCAACATTCCACCCTATAGAGTAAAGCTGGTCTCGTCGTTGTCTTATAGAACTTGCCCTTTAGTCTCATTGGTATGCGACGATCACACAAAATTCCAGTTGCACATCTCCACTTCGCTCAACAAGCTCTAATTTTGTGTGCGATATTTTCCTCGATCTCTCTAGTTTTTTGGATTATCAACCCAAGATATCGAAAGTATAGTATTTTTTGTACTTTCTGACCATCAATCTTAACTACTTCTTCGTCTCTATACCTATTATTATAAAACAATGGTGTATAAGTGTCAAAAATCTGTTGAGTACAATTATAAAATGCTCTATAGTATGAGCACCCTAACATAACCCGTATAGGTTACGTTGAGAAAGGGGTGTGAATTGTTTAAATTATCATAGTTGTCCTTTTAATTATTCCATGTCTTTAAAATGAACAAGGTCAGTTTTGTCATTAGAGAGGTTATTTGTTGATAATTTACTTAAATAACAAGGGTAATTATGGAAGGGAGTACTAAGTAGTTTATTATGCAAATGCTTATGTCTTTTAATATTTCAAATATGCCTTTCTCGAGATGACAAACATACCTTTTGCCATAGAGTATAAATATCATCATGACCCTTCTTAATGATAAAAATACCCTTATTCATTTTATAGAAATAAAATTAAAAAAGGGCCTACTCGAGTAATATTAGCACTTCACTCTTTTTTAAACTTAACCTATAATGAAACAACCTTCAAAAATCATATTAGACCCATTTGTTTAACCCTAATTTTTAAATACACACTTTTGTAATCTAATGAACAATCACAAAAAAGTAAAATTTGAAAAATTTAAAAGCACACTTCAAAAGATGCTTTTTGAGCCCAATTAATATGGGTCGTCTATTTTAATGAGATGCTTAGATCTAGGATTTTAGAAGCATTTTTTTTTCTTTCCAAAATTTTTAGATAGCTTTAACATCATTAGATTAACAATGTTAGAAAAGAGAAAAATGATTTTGAATTTGTAAAGATCTAGATCTTGAAATTCACCAATTGTATAGTCAAGATTCATTGTTTGGAGGGCACTCATTTTGACCAGGGTGCAAATTGAATTTTAATTTTTTTGGTATTGATTATTGGGACAAAGGGAGTTTATGTGCAAATTTTGAGGTCATACAAATGTGTCAAATATGATTTAATATGATTTAATATGATTTTCTAGAAGTGTGGTTTCATTATATTACAATGACACAGGGACATGAAATCATTCCTATATATATATATATATATATATAAGAAGAGTTTTAAAAACGGCTATAGGCGACTTTGAATTGTGTTTTGTCCCGCTACGGACATAGCATGTCCGTGACAGCTTATCAAGCGGAATTGCAACCGATGGTGCCTTGTCCATGGCGGTCTTGAAACCTTGCTGTCCGGAAAAATCGATAGGCATCGAGCCTATAGGTGAAATCATTGTAGCATTTTGCCTATCGACATTGTGTAGTGGCTTCTATACATATATATGTGTGTGTGTGTG